GCTTTAGGCCTCAAAATATGTTAGGTCGGCCCTGCTTCTATGTGGCTAACACCAAAACTTAGTCCAATGTTACTTAAGTGGACTAAGTAGAGGCACCATACTTTTGATATTTGGTGATCAAATATAGATCATCCTCCATTCAAACAAAGGTTATTCAATATAAATTCTTAACACACACTCTAAAAGTAAAATTTCATACCCTTAACATAATTCTTGGTAGTGTGTGATATATGAAAAAAGGATTGTTTCTCTCATAGGATCTATTAATGAAAACAGTTATTTTTTAAAAAAATTTACTCCATAAAACTCCACAAGTTATTTCTAACTATCCAACTCACTATATGTTAAACAACGCGTAACAATAACTAACTTGTGATGACATGAAAGAATTATTGAAATCCCTAAAATTGTGACTAGAAGACATTTCTCAACAATTATATCATAAAATAATTATTTAACTCAATAATTTATAATTTAAATTAACTTTTTTATAATTCACAACAGCTTTCCACATGTTAGGATTTGATATGCTTATTCCTTAACTGCATATCATATATCATCTGTATCAGATTTCATTCAAGTTTTCCACTTTACCAGTTTTCATTAAAAGGGTGCATATCTTGAAATTACATAAGCAATTACTAAAACCAAACAACAAAAGGAGGTACATATCTTGAAAATAAATTTCTTTTATTGACAATAATTAAGTTATTATAAATCAACTTTTTGCAATATATCATAGAAACATCAGTCTAAACTTGCAAGCAACACATCATCCCAAATCATTGAATTATAAATGCAATAGGATCCAAGTATATAGCATATATCAGAATTCATTACGGTACATACATATATTGAAATTGCCTGAGCAATTACTAAAATCAAACGACACCACCAAAAACAAAATTAAAAAAGACTAATCACCAACCATCATCTCAATAAGAAGATATTTTTGTTATTAACAAGTAAGTTACTATAAATCCTTTTTTTAGCAACATATCACAAAAACATAAATTTAAACTTGCAAGCAACACATCTTCACTGATAATGAATAATTGTTTAGAGGGTATGCAACTGAACTTCAGCCATTCTGCATTAAAAAGTTCAGCTGTCAGCAGATGTAAACTGGTAAGAGGCATAAGAGAGACTGCCCAAATCAATACTGCTATGGATGAGCTTAGCCTTTGAGTTTTGACCAGCAGCACCAATAGCAACATGCAATGGGAAAAAGTGATCTGGCCAGGGATGAGCTTTTTTTGCATGTGGTGCTTTCTCTTCATAATGATTTACATCTTCATATCTACAAAAGCAATTCAAAACTTCAACAACCAATTCATGAAGAGCCAAACAAACTCTACGACATTCCATGATTAGTTTTCCAATGTCAAACAAAATCATGGCAATTAGTGTTGGTAACATGAGAGGGGATAAAACCAGAGTGAATTTGACGCTACATCTCAATCCAGAATCTTAATACATCAGGTTTTTATAGGTTTTTTTTTTACTTATATACTACTCAGTATGCTTAATTATATCTAAAATGAGAATTTCATTCACACTTGCACATCAACAATTAGATCCATGTAGTTAACATCTGCATTAATCAAATATGAAGATGAAAACAGGAAAAGGGTACCTTCCTTGAAGAAGAGAATCTTTCAACCAATTGTCAAATTCTAAAGCCCAGGGTGCAACAGTACTAGAGTGACGATCAATTTCTCTCAAGTTGTGAACAGCACTTCCAGAACCCATAATCAAAACACCTTCATCTTTAAGAGGGGCCAATGCCTTTCCCATGTTATAATGATAAGTTGCATCTTGGTGAGATTGAACAGATAATTGACAAACTGGGATATCAGCTTCTGGGTACATCAAAAAGAGAGGAACCCAAGCACCATGATCAAGTCCTCGCTTTGTATCTTCATCAACTCGGCTGAAACCTGATTCCTTGAGTAGTTCCTTCACCCTCCTTGCCAATTTTGGAGCTCCAGGTGCAGGATATTTAAGCTGGTAGAGGAAGCATAATGTAATCTAAGAAATTTCTATATAAATCAACCTAACAACATCATCATGCAGAGGTTTTTTTTATCAAGAATAAGATTACAACAATACCAACTACCTTTGAACTCAAAGTATTTATGTATTTATCCCAAGTCCTAATTATTAAGCCGATTCTAATAGTTTCATTATCATATACAATAGAGATAAGTAAATGTCGAGTTGAGTTAAATTTGTCAAATTTACGGGTGTCATAATTTAGTCCAAAATTTTGTCTAGATCATTTATGTGAATCTAATTTGACTTGATTAAGATCTCAAATATATGAGAAGAGACCGGATCAATCCAACATGTTAACATAATATATGGACACTAACATTAGGTGTAGTTAAATTTAGAATAAAAAACATATAAAAGTTAAATTAAATATATTTTACAATATGTATTTTAAATATTTAATATAATATTATTATAAGGTTAAATTTTATTTTTTATCATTTATCTTATTTGTTATATTTAATTTAGTCTTTTATTTTTTAAAATGTTTATTTTTGTCTTTTATCACTTAAATTTGAACTAATTTTGTCCTTTTAAAATAATAATTATTTTTAATTTTAAAACATGATTTTATATCATTTTTTAACTGATTGAAGACTTGAAATTTGTCTCATACGATTTTTACTATATTTATATAGTTCCTTTGGATTCTAACATTAATTAAATTTTATAGTTTTATATAGTTAAATTTAATGTTACAAGTTTCATATCTTAAATCAATCAAAAATTGATTCAAAATTGTGTCACAAAATTAAAAGTTATTATTATTTAAAAGAATTAAATTAATCCAAAATATAAAAGATAAAGGATCAAAATGAATATTTTATCAAATAAAGAACTAAAATGAATATAAAAGAATAAGAGAAAGGATAAAAATATAATTTAGTTTTATTATAATTAATTTTATTATTAATTATTAATATACAATTAAAAAGATATTCTTTTAAAAAAATTGTGGATATTAAACCATGTCGGGACTCGGGACTCGGAGTATAAACCGAATCCGTCTTAAAAAATATACCTAATCTAATTTTAAAATCTGAACTAATCCATGGAACTTATAGGATCTTTCTCATCTCCAATGGATACCAAAAGGAAAAAAGCATAGCATTATTTTGGAATACCAAAAATTGAACTTCAAGACATAATTGTGTACATGGGTGCGATTGCATTCCTACGTGTGGAGTTATGGACTATACATTTAGTTATCCTTAAAAGGGCAAAACATAATATGATATGGCACTGCATGCTACTACTGACCAAGGGAAAAGATATTCTAACCATATATGTTTTGGAGGGGGATGGTAACAAAATATTTATTTTTAAATTTTAATTATGGGCTATAGAAAGCGAAGAGATAGTTATGGGCCATACATTTATTTATCTTTAAAGTATATGCTCTGTGAAAAATATGTTGAATTAATTTAAGAATTATCAACATTTCTCATGAACTAAACGTGTAATAAGAATGCATAAGTGGGTGAATAGGGGTAATATGTGGAAACCTGGTACATTTGTTTGGGAAAGTTATAGAAGTCGTAGATGGTGTCGTTGACGGAGTCAACAACGTTGACGGATGGAACAGCAGTGTCCCAATGACCAGAGATGACGAGAATAGAAGAGGGTCTCTGAGGAAACACCTCCTTCTTCCATGACTCAAAGAACTTCCTAGCCTCAATGCTCTCATCTATGGACAAAGTTGGTGATCCATGAGATACGTAGAACGTGTCCTTCAACGCCATATTTACTAACAATTCTTATTTTCCTTCTTGATATTCTCTCTCTATGCTTAATCAACTTTTGTCACACGTACACACAACAACAATCACCTACGCAGCTCAACTTTGCTATGTATATATTGATAGATAGACAGAGGGAGAGAGAGAAATGGGAGGAGGAGACACAAATGAGTTGACGTTATAGTGGGATGGAAACGTGTCATTATTATATTTTTGTACCTTACATTGTATATAACTTTAAAGAATCGTGATTAGGTTTAATTAATTAAATATGGACTCATTATTGTATTCTTTCATTAATTAAATCATGTCATATGTGTGTCATGATAAAGCTGGTAGGTGCATGGGTGGCCAATGTCCTCAGTGTAGTTCAATAGAATATGGCGTACCGATTAACGTTTCTTGTTCTTAATATGTTGTTGCTTGACGCGCAATATGCGTTCTAATTATTCCTAATTCTTAATAGTAATAATAATAATAATAATTTACAAAAATATTTGCTTCTATCCAACCAAAAGTAGAACTAACGACTCGACCGCGACATGTGATAAACCATCATTTATGTGATTTATACGGAGCCTCCATCGTTCCACGTGAAATTATACTATTTTTGTTAGGTTATTGTTAGGGTTAATCTAAGAGTAAAATTATTAAGGCTAAAATTTTTGGTCCACTAACAAACCAATATTTGATATTAAGATTTATAAAGTAAAAATTTCACAATGTTTAACAAGGGATTCATATCTTAACATGCGTACCAAAATTATAAAAGTAGTAAAATGCATACGTACCAAAATTATACTAGTAAAATGGATTCCATCCAAGTATAGTATCCAAAAGACTTAACATAATATTGCTCAAATTTAACTCGATCTATTATTAAAAGAGTATTTAAAATTTGATTGCAGGAATTTAAAGAAGAAAAACAATAAAAGAATATTTTTAGAATTTATAAATTGAATAAATTTGTAGAATAAACATGTAAATTAACATGAAAAAAGCTTTGAAGGTTTTGATTTCACTAGACCGTTTGTTCAAAATCTTGTGTTTTTCTTGATTAGTCTTATATAATCATAGGAACCTAATAAATTTAACACAAGTGACTCGCGTTTAAAAAAAGGCACGAGTTATATTATACTGGGGGGCTAATTGAATAGACTCATAACAAAATTATAGATTATGGATACAATTTGATACCAGCCTTCCTTTCAACTAAATTTAAGACATGTCAAGGTCTTTGAATTTCAAGACAGCATTCACAACAATGGGAGGCAAAGGCTCCTAGAATATATCCTAATTAAGAAATTATTAAATATTAAACAATTTTTATTAAAAACCAAAAAAGTATCCTAGTTACATAAAAAGGCACTATCATTTTTGCTGTTTAATATGAATCTTAAAAGTATACATGCATTACATCATCCCAGAACCAGGTATTAATTCATTGACAAGAAATGCACCCGAGCAAGGGTATATTCCTTTCCTGCAATCCAAACGCCAGTTTGCGACCACTGTACATCTTCCCAGTCCAGGTTTTCCTCTAGCACCTGCATCACAAAATGCACAATTGGAATTTTTCGTACAATTCAAACATAATACAATTGCATATGTTGAAGCAAGCCAATTATAGTTTACGTATAAGGCCAAGGGATGGTTGCAGAAACTGAAATATGAGCAAAAACAAGACCTGCGGAATACTGACTGGGGAAAAAAAAAAAAAAAAAACTAAAGTTCAGACTAGTGAGTGAAGTAGTGATTACAAATATACAATGGAAAAAGGTATTGGATTTTGTTCCATTTTCTCCAAGACCTACCATCGATTTTTCTCTCTACCTTATAAATAGACCCTACCACCCTCTTCCCTTTCATAGGTTGTGTATGCCTAAACAAACGATAAGGTAGACTAACAGGCAAATGAAAATATTCGATACTCTAGCAATACAATAGTTACTCATAATTGAGGAGTATAATTCTGAACACACTATTCACATGACCATGGACAAGAGATGAAAGATTGATTCAAATATACCTCCACATGTTCAAGAGGCAGAGGGATGCCGATTGTGCGCATCACTTTCTGGGGTAGAGGATTCTTACATCGAGACCATCGAAATACATCAACCATGACATTATCAGAATCAGCTTTGTCACCATTTGTGGAATGGTGGTGGTGATTTTGAGACTTCTCTATATCTGGGTCATGCATCTGAGTTGCTGGTATAGCCTTCACCATCTTCTCTCCAGTAAAGCACAGCTCATATCTACAAAAATTAGCCTCATAATTATAGTTTCTCAACTTCAAGACAACCATGGGAACATACTTATGTTTCATAACCATAGTGGATCCTTAGAGTTTGATAAAATAACACTAAAAACACTGAAACATTGCTCTGGATAATAAGAAGCAACTAATGGAAGAAGAGGGTGACAAAGTCAAAAATGGTCTCATATTTATAAAAACATTGCAGTAAACCAGTAACATGCGGCACTTAAAATTTTCTAAAAGGAACATCGAATGTGAAGCCAATATATTAATATAACATACAGCTCACTCATTTTAGTAAAGAACTTCCATGTAAAAAATACCTGCATGAGTGTGTCTCTAGATACAGAACTTCTCCCTTCTTTAAACGAGCAGATGTATAGAGTGGCTTTTTTAGACCCTTGTCAGCAACAATGCTTATACTATATTTGATCCTGATAAGTAATATAAATTTATAATTAATAAATACAATAAACAAGACAAGCTGCAAAATAGAACTAATGCATTTGCATTCATATCTAAATGAGGAAGAATAAGAGATATAAGGACCTGGTTGATTTGAAAAAGCATTTTCTATTCTTATTTCCCATTTTCACAAATAATTACAAAAAGCTACCTTGTTATCACTGTTTTCTATTTTCAAAGTTTTTAACCGAAACAACAGAATCAAAATACAGTAGCATTTAGTAAATGTGAGAAAAAAAATGAAAACAGGAAAACTTTTATCAAACCAAACTCTTAAAAACCAAGCTGCAATACAATGTAAGTAGTTGAGACATTTTCACATATTACAAAAAATACCACAAACTTGGATTCAATATTTTTTGCTCCATCATAAAACACAATGCTATTGTTTTAAATTGTACTTTGCCAACTAATACTAGCATACCAAGGTTCATTACAGAGGTTGTACTGTATTGTAACTTCACGTACAAATCTTTGCTGCCGCAATGCATTCTGAAGAACAAAGACCATGCCAAATAACATGAGCACAGAATGTGATAATAACTACTAATTTGATGGCAAATATGAAAAGGTTTGCAATTATAAGATGAAAATATTGGACAAACCGAAGCAGCAGCCCTAGTAGTCATTGTCCTCTCAATAGTCACTGGTGCAAGGGTAGGCTCAACAGTTGAGGTATGTGTAAGGCAAGGTTCAAGATCTATAGTTCCACCTCCTTTCTGAAGACCAAAGAAATAAAAAGGGTCAGAATCACCATTAAGTTTTAAATATTTATGCAGTTACCTAGTCCAATTGAGAATGAAACAAAGCTCGTAGACAGACAGGTAACAATGTGAATGTGTGCAAAGTGCAGACCCCATTGCAAGCACAAGCAACCCTTTACAACCCAAATATAATGTCCTCCTTAGAAGGACATGTTATGTGACTAGTAAGTAAAGCATTTAAGCAACAAATAATCAGCAATTTCTCTGAAAATGCATGATATAAGAAAGAAAAGGACATTATATTTGACATGGAAAATATTGAACTAAATTATTTATATGACAAGAATTTAAAGTAGATGATTTTTCAAAGAAGAAAACATGACTTCAGGGGAAAAAGTTCAAAGGCTGAAGGATATTACAGTTTGCATGCTTTTTATTACTACCTTCACTATGCAGCACCGCTCAACTTTATAGCTACAACCAATTGAGCTACAACCAATTGCAGCACCCCAAGCACGGGAACGTACATTGTTTCTCAAGGTAGAAATATAGCCTGATATTATACACAAAATATCTTTAGATTATTCGAAACAGAGCTTCAATGGTAAAAGCAAAATTAGTAACTGCAAAGTTGAGAAACCAACCAAACTACCTCATTTCTGCTAAGTAAAGAGGTGTATGTATAAATTATGCTCAGACGATTAACCAAGTCTGAAGTAGTGCTTGGTGCAGTAGAAATGACTGTTTATGATATCAAAAAGAACCTCTACTTTTGATATACGGTGTAGCTTACTAGCTTTCAGTTCAAAAGAGTATATCCTTTACAATAAAATTCAAACACCAAGGCTCTGAACCTCATTGATAACCAACCAGATTTAAAAATTCCCCAGTCTTCTTATTGCTATAATTAGAATCTCTATTTATATATAATATTTTTTTGGCATTCGAGATCTTCTACTAGGTCCTGCAAATTATACTTCAACAAACTCTTTTTTTTAACCCTCAACCTTCTGTCCAAGATTTCCTTCAATTTAAAAATGATTTTTGCACTTGAGTTGTACTCAAGCATTCATTTCAGTGTCATAATCAAACAAGTAATTGGTTGTATGTTTATTTTTAAATTTTTCAGAGGTAAAACAATTAGTACAATAATGAACCAAGCAAAATTAATGCCAAATTCAGTAAGCAGATAAGCCACTGAATTTATTTGAAAAGAATAACTACTATATCTTTCAAAATTACTTAATGGAAAACCCAAGTTCAACCAGGAGACTTTAATTTTTTATCATATACACAAACTAGGACATTTTACCATATATTTACTCCCAGATATTACTTCAAGATTACTTGGATGCAATTCAATATTATTTAACAGAGCAGCATCAAGATGCTATTATTAGACAATGAAGAAAGAGAGCATCTTTCTGATCTTTAAGGACATACAATCTTGAGGAGGCAGCACTCGAATAGTTGTGCGCAACTCTTGTACAGCCATGGGAGGAGGAGAAGCTGTCGGTCGACAATAACCTGTATGCATGAGAACTACACAGCAAAAATGCAAAATCAGTACTGATTTCAAACACATCAAGTCCAATCCTTTGCAATCAAAAGCTACCTGCAAAATCTTAGCAATAACACATACCTGCAACGAGATCTGAGTCATATGTGTAAACATCAGTCCCCCATAGCTGACCTCCTCTAACCTGAACATATTAATTTATACTCTCAAAGCTGGGTATTGCATCAACAACTAAAGCATAATTAAATTTCATATTTTGAATTTTAAATTTAAACAAATAGAAGTGAGTAAAAAAAGTAAACAAATAAAAGACTTTCTCAACATCAAATCATTTTATTAACTTAAGTACTCCAACAAATTCCTGCGGATGGAAAAGAAAAATAAAAAAAAAATCTGTCCATACCCACCCTCACCCCCCTTAAAATATCATTGAATGGCTATAAAACGTGCTTCCATCGCATGAACAACATAAGATAGAACAAAAGAGAAACTAGAAAAAAAAATTGAGGGGAAAAAGACATACAAAGTTTTTTTATGAGAATTAGGGCAGAAAACATTTCGTGAAAACACTTATCGGCCATGATGAACCAAAGTCCTGAAACTTTTCTTTAACAAAAAAACAAATGTACCATAACTTAATTTATACAATAATACTATAAAAGTCATGAATAAACAAAAAAAAGAAAGCAAAACAAGAACAGAGGCTTCACCAGCAGTAGAAAATCATCAATGTAAAACGCATGCACAAAAGCACCTCCTCAAGCAATGACAGATTCAAAAACCTTAAGTTGTGAGAAAATACTCATAAACTTGTAGGGGCAATACTTATATTGTAGATTGATTATTTATACTACATTTTAAATTACGGGGACAATTTAAAATTATACATATATTATTAAGACAAGTTAAAAAGCTTGTGCGCTTCTTGTGGATCTGACACTAACCTCAAACCCCCCTCCCCAAACCCCCAATACACTCGACCATAAATTTAATAAAAACAGAGTTTGATCTTACTTGACGGTTTGTAGCAGTAACATTCTCAGCAGGTATCCGAATTTCAAGAGTGGGGCCAATATTAGAGCTTTCACCATTTTTTTCCACTTGAGATTGAGATAATTCATACTCCTTCCACAACTTTATCAGTTCTTGCATGCTTTCACCAACTTTATAAACAACAGAAGATACTTCTGCTTTACCTGAAATATCAGAACTTAAATATAATGGGCATGAAGACTAGAAAGATGTCCACCTCTTATCCTTTGCATTCCTTCGGCAAGTACTAACAATTGACATGTACATTATAATGGTACCATCACACAACACAACATTAAAAAAGAAGTGTAAAGGGATGAGCCAGTCTGAAAGGAGAGAACGCATCACATAAACCAATGGGCCAAGTAGAGCAATTTTTGTCAAAACCCGAACTAATTCATGAAGGCACAAATCTATGACAAGCCAAATAGCTTTGAGCCAGATAAAACAAAATATGACAGAATACCTTGAGACCTGCAAGATAAATGAAACAGAAAGTAGTTGTTAAAGAAAAAAACTTGAAACTAGTAAGAAGGGCTGTAAATCCAAAAATCAAAAATGGTATTAATGAAGTACAGATAAAACAGAGGAATAAAAATGACAATTTGACAAGAGAAGAAATCAAAATTAAGTCTGCGGTCAATGTGCAATAGTAATCATATTTGATTCTTCACCAAACAAAATTCTTCAGATTTAAAACAACTACTAGATAAAAACCTGAATTTCAATTAAGCATATAAATATATAAGTATATTTGATGGCTTACCGATACACATTCAAATGCACAAGCTTATTCATTCAAAAGCCCAAATATAAGAACACCGAATAACAGTGGGAGATAAAGAAACTAATAAGGAAAGAAAAAAGAATACAGAGAAAACATTGTGCTCTCGTCCCTATTGGCGTCAGTCCACTCCCCTATACTACTATTCCACACCCTACGTCACCCCAGTCTGGACCCCACATAATCACATTTCTGGCATGATCCCAGCCTGTCAACCACCAATTCCCTCACAACAACCATGCATTTTGTTAGATCTCTCCGCTTCTTCTACAACCTAATTCTTATTTACATATCTGCCCTTATTCCCTTCTATCTCTTGTAGACATGGATAGGAGGTCCATCTATATTTGATGCATCAGAGAACAAAAAAAGTCAATATATATTTGTTATATTAAGGAGCATTACATCTCAGCATATTCTTTTGAAGGTGTTTACTTACGCCACTGATATGTTTGCTGACAAATACACCTGGTGTTAATTTGTTAACCCACAAATTCACTTGTTGCTACAAATTTCAGGCAATAAAATAAACATGAGCAATAGTTGACTACATTCTCGAAAATGTTAACAGGTAGCCGTGAGATCATTAGTGTCCTCCCAAATGCAATTAAGATACAATGCATTGGAAAAAATTATCAAATCATTCTGAATTTCTAATAGGATTCTGAAGCTTCATCTTTTATAACTACAAATCACATGGTATAAACTAAAAATATACTTGAAAATAAAAGATACTTATTGGGTAAGTCATCACTTATCCCACAAGTAACCAAGAAAAATAGAGGAAAAGAAGATACTCTTCATTGTCTGGAGCATGAGCATGGGATCTAAAACGAGCCTCGCGATTGGCCACCTGAGGGCTTCCCCTTGATCTGTGGATCCTTTTACGATGTTGAACATTATAGTTATGGACTTCCCTCTCCTTCTCTCCAGTCCCTTCCCCGTGAGCACTTCCATCTTCTGATTGCTTGTCAATTTTAATGCGCTTCTCGGGTCGATCTCCTTCTAAGTCAGCATCCCTTTCTTTCCTCCTCTCTCTAGCTTCTCCATCGACATTTTTCCAGCTGTCAGCATCTTTCTGTTTCTTCTGCTCTGGCAACACATTTTCTAGCTCAGGATTTTTTGCTGATCCGTCACCAAGTTCCTTCTCATCATTCAAAGCTTCTTTCTCCATTCCATTCCATGATTCCCTCTTGTTATGATCTTTTTCTTTCTCTTTCAAACTTTCTTTCTCTTTTGGAAGATCTTTCCTCTCCCTCTCCCATTTTTCTACATCTCTATCTTCCTTGGCAGATTCTTTGTTATCACCACCATTATTGTTAACCGGCGTACTGCTTCTGCGATCATTTCTCTCCTTTTCCCTATCTCCCCAATCCCGATGCTTGACATCCTTTCTTTTTCTTTCTTTAAATCTATCTTCACTTTTAGAATCAATTTTGTTTTCCCCAACAGCCTCATGAGTTTCCAAATAGTCCCTTTCTTCTGCCATTGAACTGTCCTTTCCAACTTCTGCTGGTGTATTGCCACGTGATGTGTGCCAGGAATCCAAGCTCCCACCAGGGGCATCAGAAAATCTCTTACCCCTATACTCTTTTGATTCTTTCCAATTCAAGTTGCTGCTTACCATACCAAAGGCATCCTTATCAGTCTTAATGTCACCTTTTGAATCATTATGGCTATCCCGCTCTTGTCTGATATCCTTGTTGTCCTCTCCTCTGCCATCAACTCGAACATCCTTCTCACTCTTAGAAATCTGAGAATCCCTTCTGGCTTCACCATGTAATTCCTTCTTCTCTGTCTTTATATCACGATTCTCAAACCGGAGATCTCTGCTCTCCTTAAAATCCCTAGATTCTGTTCTGTTCTCATTTCCAATGGGGTGATCTGCATGAGAATCATTTGAAGATGATGGCATCCGATACACTGAATGAAGAGGAGATCTTCTATCTGCATCACGGGGTTCAGTACGGATTGCCTTTGCCACCCGAGAATCCTGACCTATATCATATGGAATATGGTGATCATTTGAAACTGATGGCATCAACTTGGAATATGTACCCGAATCTTGATGTGAATGCTTTGAAGACTGATGAACAGCATCTTCATGTGATCTCTTAGGTACACCACTCATAGTGAAAACCCAATACAGTCATAAACCTCAAAAGGAAGTAATCTGACAGCGAAAACAATTCCTATATCTTCTCTCCACGCATTACGCGGATGTCATAACTGCAAGCCAACAACGAAAACTATATAACGCCACAACAATTTATCAGGCCAAAAGCAATTTTCATTTGCATTCAAGTTAGTCAACGAGAAACACGACAAAGAGAAACAATGCCAGTCAACCAGACAGTAACCGACAAAGCAACATCCTCAACATAATCTCAATATCAAATTAACACTTTCATGTTCAACGTACGAGAAACACGACAAAGAGAAACAATGACAGTTAAGTAAACGAGACAGTAACCAACAAAGCAACATCCTCACCATAATCTCAATATGAAATTAACACATACCATGACAAACATAAAACCTTATCAGAATTTTTTTTGTTCTTCATCACACACAACACTTACAGGCAGTACAAATATAATTACAACCCTATAATTAAGTATTGAATGCCAATTAGCCAGAGTCAAAAGACATCATCATCATCATATAACTCCAAACCAGATGAAACCAGATGACCTAGTTTCAGCCACAGCCAAGCATATAATGAGAAACATAGTCAATTTCAACACACGACCTCCTATATAACTAGAAGAAAGCAAACAACATTTCCCCTGCTGAGAGGGGAAAAGATGAATCTCAATTCAATGTCACAATTGCAGGAGAAAAGATTAAACAATTGCAGTTCATGAAGCTAGAAAAACGGCATTATCAAGTTACTCAAACAAAGAAAGAATCCAAACCCTTACTATCCAACTCAAAGTCTGCGAGAAAGAAATTACAAAAGGAAAATAATTCAGGGAAAAAAAAAAAGCGAATTAACGAAACAACAATTTAGGCGAGGTTAGAATGTTAGAGAACTAGCAAAAAGGGGAAATCGACAGGACACGAAAGTGAAATGCATTTGAAAAATGGGAGCAGGGAGAGAGTAAGGAAGAGAAAACCCTAGAAGGTGAGGGGAGAGTTAACCTTAATTGTTCCGCGGAGGGTCTTGTATCGGAAGTGTGTTATGTTGTGTTGTGTTGTGTTATGGCTTTTGAAGGTTTGTGTTGGGTATATATATTTGTCTCTGTGAGAGACCTATGTAGGCTATGTATGCCTATATGGATTGATTACCTCTGTCGGGAGGATGCGAATGCGATGCGAACACACCGTTTAGTACAACACAAAATGCGGAGAAATAAATAATAATAATAATAATAATAGTTTAATTAGAATTACAGTTGTATTATAAACTAGTATACACTTGTATATTATATAATTAAAATTTATAATAAATTATATATAAATAAATACTATATTTAAATATATAAAATATATTTAATATTTATATGAATAAATATTTTAAACATATAAATTATATTTTAAATTTATGATAAATAATATATATTACAATATAAAATTATTTTAGTTTATTGCCTATAGATTATTGAACCTTAGTCATTATTAACCCCAAGCGTGTGGTTCAGCGGTAGGGGTTGGGTTGATCCACGCTTAAGCAAGGTCAGGAGTTCGAATCCTGCCTTGTGTATGCAGCCGCGTTAAATCTTGGAGTCAGCTATCCCACCCTTTGAGGTGCCTCCAATAGGAGATTAGTCACTGTTGCCGGCGGTGGATACTCTGGGAACGAAAATTTGGGATTTAATCAAGTGAGAGAAAATTAATCTAAGGGTTATATTTCCACCTTCTCACCTTCTCATAATAAATTCTTCACACTTGATATGCTCCCTCTATATATAGATTCCATAAAATAAATATTTAAAATGTGTCATTATTTTTATTTTAGTAGCAAAATGTGCCATTGTTAAATTTTGTATAATCAACAACAACCAACCCATCCGATGTGTTGGAATAACCACACGACCTTTTAGATCTCTTAAATCCATTAAAACAATTTTTATTATTTATTTTAAAATTTATTTCGATATATACATAAGTTTGTAACCGTTTTTTATTTTATATTTTTTATAATCTTATTTTAAAATTTTTAAATAATAAAATATAATATTAAAAATTAATTTTATTCTTATTACTCAAATAATTTAACTGTTCATAATTACTTAAATTCTTAAATTTTTAATCATTTATTTTATTTTTTAATCTTAATTCTTTTATTTTATTTTAAATTTTTAAATAAAATATATAAGTACAAAGTATCTCAACTTCATTAATTAATCTAATAAGAAAATAGTCATTTTCTCCATTTTCATTGTATTCAGAATAAATATAGGAAAAAATGTTTTTAAAAATTATAAATAAAAAAATTAATTTAAAAATATTTATACTTATTATAAAAGGGATTCTGAGGTATGTAATCGTTTTTTGTCTCCATTTTTTAATGGATCATTATACTCCTCGAATGTAAAAAATAAATTCTTATATCCTTTTCAAATAATTACACGCAAATTTTTAATATTCTGTCTATATAATTATTAGAAATACAAAGTGTCTCGTCTCCTTTAATTATTTATAATGAAAGTAAAATATGATTAGAGTACATCATATCCAATGTTCTTTATTGAATAAAATTATTTTACAATGTCAAAAAGATTATTTTTTATAAAATTATTTTTTATATATTAAACGTGAATGATTATTTTACATAAAAGCTCTTTTAGAGATTATTTTTTAATAGTAGGGTTTCTAAGAATTCAATCAACTCCTTATTTAATTCAATTTCATATTTATTTATAACTTAAATTTTAATATATTAAATATAAATTATCAATAGATAAAAAAAATTAGTTTTTTTAACATTTAACAAGTGAAATATAGTGAGTAAAATACTAGTTATATTTTATATTTATGATAAATAACTTATATTGTAGCATAAATTATTTTTATTTATCAATAATTTTTAAAAATAATAAAATTTAATTTATAAATAATTATGATGAATAAAAACTGAATTAGATGTAAAGTTACAAGAATCCCTAAAAACATTCTCGTAGTAGAAAAGTCTTAAAAATGTTGTGGTGCAAGCTGTTTGTATTTAATATGTAGGAGGTAATTTAAAAATAATAAAATTTAATTCATAAATAAAAATTGATTTAGATAAATCAAGAAAATATTTAAAATTTCTCTTATCGAAGAAAAGTCTCTAAAAATAATTTTGTAAAATATAATCATTTGTATTTAATATATAATAAACATTTAATATATGATAAATAAATATTTAGTTTGTGTAATACATAGGTTAAATGTTTATTTTATATATATATATACTATATAAATTATATTTTAAATTTATAATAAATAATTTATATTATAGTAAAATTATTTTTATTTATTGATAATTTATTTTAAAAAATAGGAAGAGAAAAGGTATAAGAACTAAATTTGAGAAGTTCAACATGAAGTTAATTAAAATTAGCATAATTAAAATAAAACAATCTTATTTTATAAGAATTAAACATCTATATGATCCAAATTTATAAAATTAAAAAAAAATTAGATAATTATAATATTAGTACGAAGTATTTACCAAGTTAGAAGACATAATTAATCTCCATCGAGATAAGTGCACACAACACAAGATCACAAGATAGGTATTTTATACTTAAGATAAAGATTCGAATCCTAAACAATTTAATTAAAAAATACAAATTGTTACTACTTGTATCAATCAATGTTGGTGTAAAACTTAAACATTTGGATAAATAAATGAACTAATATGAAGTAAAATAAAAATCTATAACAAATATAATAGTAACTAGTAAAATAATATGAAAAATTGAACTCGAGACAATAACACAATTACTCAAATTTATCTTTCTTATTTAATGATTTGTTTTTGTAACTTCTCTTTTGTTATATTTTATTCATAACATGAAGGTGATTGCACAATTAGTTCTTTATACGAATTTTATTAAGTTGTGTTTAAGGTTTATTTTTTTAAAAAAAAAAAGTTAATGACTAAAAATTAATGTTTTACATCTTCGGTTAAACAAAGACTTAAACTTTGTAAGTTTAACTTATAAAGTTTTAGTTGTTTCCGTTTTGGTATTCTCAAAATTTTAGAACTCTCGTCATAGAAAAAAATATATTTTTATTATTCTCACTCAAATAAAAATAAAAATATATATGTGAGATCCATAAAATAAATTAAGTTTTTTCATTAAAATAAAAAAAGAAATAATTCTTAAACCTTAAGTGATAGTGAGAGATCCACAAAAAAATTGATTAAGAACTCAAAATAGATTCTATATTAAAGATCTTCTAATAAGCAAAGTCTTGCCAAAGGAAAAGTTTGTATTATTCTCCTCCAATGAAATAATTCTCACATGTACTTAAAAAAAAGTTAATTTGATATAATTGACTTTGAATCTATTAAAGAAAGTATTAAATTGAATAATATTAATAAAAAGTATGGTTAAAAAATACATCATTAAAAATTATCGATCAAACTTTTCGGTAAATATTACTTATCAATAATATCGATAAATACTTTATATCAATAATGTAATTAAAAAAACATAAATATAAATTAAATAGAAAAATCCTGTGTAACCAAAGAAGAAAAAAAACATAAGTCTAATTCTGTTGAATACAATACATAAATGTCATACACTCTCTTGTTGCCGAGTTCAATTTCCATAAAAATAATAAAATAAAATAAAAGTTGTTACTTGTTAGCCCTGCTCTAATAATTCGTTTGGCCATCAGCAAAATTTTGGAACTTCGTGTATTTATTAGATTTGCAGAGTATTTTTCAGTGTTGATGTTTTGGCCAGAAGAAAAAATTCAAAAGTAAAACAAAAATCTTTATTATGAAAAAAATTAAAAACACGAGGAAGCACATGATTATCTGCATGTCTGACATTGCATCACCAAACTTAGACGCATGTCATTTTGGAGTTTTCTGACGTTGTTAAAATGCGTTATCTGCTTGGTTGGTAATGTAGAAAACTGAATCGATTACAATAAATGCATCACCAAACCAAATATACTGAAATGTGTAGTGAAAGTTATTTTGGTTTGTGCTAATTTCAGATTGGGATTTATACAGTTGCTGCATCTGTTATAGCAAACTAGGTACATATGCCTCACAGAAATATTTGCATCTAAACCAAGCAACCTTCACAATTCAATTTTAATAAAACTATTATTTGACAAAGATATACACAACCTATACAAAATTTCATGTTACTCACAAATATTGAGCTTTGACCTAAACATTAGATCACATGTTAAGGTGGTCATCAGCTCCATGTTAAGATCAAGTCACATGGCTCTTTGCAACAAACCCACATATGACCTCCAGCCAACATTTCACCATTCGTCCCATTTATTCAAGAAGTCATCCCACATAGCTGCAGCAATTGAATCGCGCATTGAGAAAGCAAGTTGTTCTTGTATTGAAGAAAGCATCGGCACGTCAGGAAGTTCATCGAGATCTGACATTTCCTCCACCGGCGACCCCCCAATGCTACTGAATATCCAGTCATTTCTTTCTTCATTGCGAATGAAGTTATGCAAAACACATCCAGCTATGACTATATCCCGCTGAATCTGAAAGGAATACTGAGGAGCAAGTTTAAGGATTGGGAATCTAGTTTTCAACACATTGAATGACCTCAGGATAGCATTCCTCAGGAAACAATGCCTGTGATTGAAAAGCTCCTTTGCGTTTCTTGGTAACTGATTTGCACCTCGAAACTCATAATGCTGGTACCGGACCCCTTGGAAAGGAGCGATAAACCCTCCTGTATTTAAGTATCCCTTGTCAACAAGGTAATACTTTCCTATGAAATACATCCAAAGAAGAAAATAACACATCAAGTTATCACTAATGTAATGTGTAATATGGAAAGTTAATGAACCCAAAACTACAGATATAATAAGAACCAAACCTTGAGGTATTTGAGGGAAATTCTGATCTGGGTCATCAAGAACTGCCCTTAACACTCTCGAGTCGGTGACAGAGCCTTCCCAACCAGGATAAATGAATATAAACTGCAGGTCAAATGTGCAAGCTGCCAGCACATTTTGAGATAGGATACCTTTCTTATTGCGGAATCGAGATTGATCTTTAGCTGGCACATGTGCAGGAATGTTCATACCATCAATTACTCCTATACAATCCTGAAATTTTTGGCGGAGAAGGTCAGTAAACTAGCACAAGTAGTAAACATATGACAAGAGTTGAATTAAGTAGAATAGCAAGCAAGAAGGAGCTCAAAGATCATTGTAACCTTGAAATATGGATAAAATCTTGCATTGTTGAGAATTTCGGGAGGTGTTGTGAGCTGAGGAGGTTGCAAAACTTCACGTGACAATGATTTAATAGCCTTCAATACATTATTAAAGTGACGGCTAATGGTTTCACCAGAGTGTTGAAACCGCTCT